CCAAAACCCCAAAACCCCAAAACCCCAAAACCCCAAAACCCCAAAACCCCGCGAATCTATTCAGTTGATATTATTTGAAATTGTAGTTGAGTTAATAATTTAAATTTGAAATTAATCAATGCCACTCGTACACTCATACTTTGAAATGATTGAGGACGCTCTCCTCACTCTAGCCGACAGAAAAGGTTCATCAAGATAAGGTATCTGGAAATGTATTTCAACTAAATTCCCAGAGGCTGACTACAAGCAATTCTTGATCAGATTCAAGAAAGTCGGTGAAAACTAGAACATCGTTAAGGCTAAAGGCTAAAGACTAAGACTCAGTCCAAACTACAGATTGAAGTTGCTTAAAGCACTTGAGAAAGGTCAATCAGTCAAGCAAACTCAGAAGACCAAGGCTACTATGAAGAAAAACTCAAAGAGAAAGTCCGCCAGACAAAACAAGAAAGCTAAGTCAGGAAAAGCTAAGAAATCCTCCAGAAAGGTAAAGGCTGCAGGAAAAGGTAAATCAGCTGGCAAAAAGATGACCAAGAAAACAGGAAACAGCAAGAAAGCACCTGGCAAGAATGTGAAGGGATCCAAGATGGCTCAGAAAAAGAAGCAGAATAAGCAAGCTATGAACAACAAGAAAGCCACAATGAACAAGAAGAAGAACTCCAGAGCTGGCGCCAAAGCTAAATCAGGACCAAAGACTAAGCAAGCCAAGGGTAATGGAATGAAAGGAGGAATGAAAGGAAAAGGAAAGAAAGGATCAGGGGCTGCTGGCAAGAGAAACCAGCATAAGCAGACTGATGATGCCCATGATGATGGAGACCTAGCTCATGACGGCCACCAAAATGCTCATCATGATAACGCACATCAAGATGAGCACAAATCCCATACTCCTTCAAGAAACGAGAGATCATCAAGAAGGAACTCAGCTCCTCAAACCTCAAACAAGAAGAACTTGAAATCAAATGCCAAAGCTTCAGGCAGAAAGTCTGGTGCTGGTGGAAGAAAATCCGACATGAGAAAGAGCAAGGCCTCCAAGGACATCAAGAAGAAGGGCAAGAAGTGAGCACAATTCTCCTAATATAATATATATTCTCAATATGATTGATATATTCTATCTTAGTTATCACAAGAAATTTAATTTTCATATTTCAAATTTCTTTCATAATGGGGTTTTGGGGTTTTGGGGTTTTGGGGTTTTGGGG